GATGGGACCTCTTGTTCATGTACACAGTCTCCTGTTCTAGCGCTGGTCACTGCTGAAAAGAGTCTAGTTCCATATTCTTTGTATCCTCCATTCATGTATCTGTACACACTGCTGAAATTTCCTTTGAGCCTCCTCTACTCCAGGTTGAACAGTCCTGGCACTCAGTCTCTTTTAACGAGTGAAGTGCTCCAGTTACTTAAACATCCTTGTGGCCCTATGCTGGACTCTTGTCAGAGTGTCTAGGTCTCTCTTTTATTGGGAATTCCAGCATTGGACATAGACATCCATGTGCAGTACAACCAATGTTGAATTGAACAGGAGCATCATCTCTCTTGATCTGCTGACAATTCAACCAAGATCACTGTTAGCCTTCTTAGTGACAATGGCACATTTTTGACTCATGTTCATCTTAGTGTCTACCAAGATACTCAGGCCCTCTTCTCCTCTTCTTTCCAGCTAGGTGGCCTCCAGCATATACCGATGCCTGGAGTTATTCCTCCCAAAGTATAAGACTTTGCACTTCTTCTTGTAGAACTTAATAAGATTCTTGTCAGTCCACATCTCCAGCCCCCCCAGAATCCTTTGGATGGCAATGCAGCCATCTGGTGAGTCAGCCATGTCCTCCAGTTTGTCACCCATGACTGCGATGCACTCTACCCCATCATCCAGATCATTAATGAAGATTTTAAACAAGACTGTACTCAAATTCTGCATAAGCACTGAAGATAGGCTGGATGCTTTAAGATTATGCACAATTCAGTACAAAATATGTTTCTTACCAGCTGTCCCATACAAAGAATTTATATACATAATTCATCCATTCTGTACACTGCTTTCATCCCTACCATATATTACAAAATATAATATAAGCAAGCATCAGCAGCAGCTCCATTGCTTTCAATACATCTACTTTCTACTCCTCTATGAACCAACAACAAAATCTGGATTAATCTTTAATTATTTGCAGTAGCAAATCCTTATCATCAGTCTGACTTCTAGTATAAACTCATATAAACATAGACTAGCATGAGAATATTGAAATGCATTTTATTTATCTGCATGGAAACTGTCACATTTAAATATTTCTTCAGTACAGTCCTAAATATCTCATAACTGAATGCCTGAGTTTAGCTTTCTCTTTGAACTTTATCTTGCCTTTATGGAAATGTACTGTCTATGACTTTATTCTTATTATTTTTTTAAGTTTATTTGCTTGATCAAATTTTCATCTAGCCTGTGTTAGAGATGTCTGGGACTTGTTAGGCTCTCGTGTGTTGAAAACAAAGACACTCTATCAGCAAATATATGTAAATATAAGAATAAATACTGGAAATATTATTCAGTCATTAACCAGGTCCTAAATACAGAGAAGTCAGAAGTAGTTTTTACCCACCCATTTTGGAATTAAACTTCTTTAAATTAGACCTTCTCCTTGAAATTAGCCTGAGGCATGAAGTTCAGCATGTGTAAAAGATTAGTTTTTAAGGCTTCATTCAGACCAAGCACTACCTAAGGGGCAAAGAGTGATGCTGAAACCAAAGAAAAACTATATCAAATACCAAATATACAAGATCTTCCATAACACTATATAATTCTTACTTTGTATTCTAGATTAGGAACTTTCAAAGAAAAAGAAAAAAAAGAGATCTCAACTGTTCCAAATAAGTTAATAGTATGAAATAAATAATCAAGCAATAGTTTTTACATTTGAAGAATGGTAATGATTCTGTTCTGGATTCGAATTTTAAATGATTTAAATGCAAGGAAGCAAAGGAAAAGCTATGTGGAACTGCATTTATAGTGTCTGGAGGCTTGTGTGTAAGTATTAGTCTTAATAGAAACCTGCATAAATTGAACATATGCAAATGTTCTCTCTCAAGGGCCTACAATGACAAGAGCTGACTCAAACACCAGTGAGAAGCCCATAAAAATAATATATATATAAAAATATATATACACACACATATATATAAAAAAAAACACATATATATATGATATTAGTTGGTCTTCTTTAGACCTTAAATAATGTAATTTGTACTTCAAATGGATTTTAACGCGTAAAGCCCTGGTCAGCATAAATGGTTAAGAATGAAAAGCAATCCTGTGATTGTCTGCATCTTCTAGAAAAGAAAGGAAATGAAAGGAAATTTCCTCCAGATTGACAAGAATTAGGAATTGGCACAGACATATCTGTTATTGTAACATCCCTTAAGCACAGAATACTCGAGCAGGAATATCAGTTTTTAACAGACTCTCAGAAAAACAGGTTTAACCTCTCTGAGCTCATTTATGTTTTAGCCCTAACCATTTGTTACACGTCCCGTGAATCAAAGCCCACGAGCTTTTACTGTTACTGTAAAAAAAGGATCCAGTTTTTCAATGGAAGTGTATAAAATTCCATGGTTTAGTTCCTACTGACAACATGCAATCATAATAATCTACTTTAATGGGAATATACTTAGCCTGTATAATAACACTGACAGCTTTGGACTTGTGGGAATGGTGCTCTAATGAAATGAACATGAAACTCTCAGTCTTGCCTTGTGCTATCACAGTCAGCAGGGAGAGAGTAACTCAGACTCAGGGGAACCCCACACTTGAAAATGTCAACAGTCATAACCAGTTCTGCCCCAAGGCAGGGATTAGCAAACACAGAGCTTTCAAAAATGTTTTTTTTTTCCCCCTCCATCTATAGAGGTGAACTGTTCTATGAAATTTAAGAAAAAATTTAGGATGTGTTCCATAACTGTGGTGAAATGCTTATTGTCTATAACCTGATGACATAGGGAAAAAAAAGTGTCTATAGTCCACTGGGTGCTGAAGAAGTGAGTGCAGGAATTCAAGAATTTCACTCATGATGCTGTGGTACTGCTCAAAAAAATACGCAAAAGAAGACATATGGTGATATAGTGCTATTTATTGTATATTGCACCAACTGCAAGGGCCTGAGAAGCAAGCCAGATACATGGGATAGCTCTTCTCTAATCTGTGTATTCAATGTGTTTTCTCCCTTGAAATCTCTACAATTTCTACAGGGGGGTTACATTTTCACTTTCTCCTCTGCTGCCATAACCAAATATCTTTGTGCCAGATATTATCACTGGCCACAAAAGGATCATAAGACCTTTCGTAAAGTTTATATTGTGAATGTATACCATCCTTAATAGACAAATAAGAAATGAGGAGAAAAAAACCACACCCAATTCTATCAATGAGACTGAGACTGGAGAAACTCAATTCCAAATAGCCACAATCACTATAAACCTTATTTTGCATTAGATTCTAAAATTAATGCAAATAATTAGTGCTAATCTGAGACAGTCTGCTCTACTACGCAAAGAAATGCCTGCTGGGAAACTGGCATAAATTCGGCTAACTTACTGAAATAAATGCCTGCTTACCTATTTTGACATAAAGGAGGTGGGAATCTAGAGGGGCTCTAGAAAATAGGCTGACGTATCTGGTGGAAGAAGCCCTACTAGCAGGCAAGCCTAAGGAGTTTGTGGAATGCATGTGAAATTATTGTTAATGTATGGATTTATTACAAAACCCCACAGTATGGGGATTCTTGTGTCTTCTGCCCAATAGGAGTACCATTCTACACCTTATGACCTCATGCTACACAGCCAAAGCACTTTGAGGGCCGGTAGTGTTCTCTTTCAACGTACTTGAAGCGTGTCCAGCCATTGTTGCTTTGAATACCTTTCTGTAATGCGTGGAGCCTTAAAGTCATCATGTAGGAAACAGCTGCGGTACAAAAAGGGAATGAGTTTCCACTGAAAAAAAGAAGTGCTATTATTGAAAATAGTCATTACTTCACCACTCAGCATGCAAACACATTAAATACAGGAAGGTGCTTCTCTTACATCTAGTGCTGCTAGACATACCAACATATTTACAGACTTCACTGGACTTCGTCTTTGTTGCTTTCATTTCAGTTTAAAAATTAACTTGGACCTTCCATGGAAGAAGTAAGCAGATCCATATGTTTATTTCTGGAATATCTCTGAGTATGCTTAACACTGATAACAGCAAGATTGATACTACTGTGATCTGCAATAAAGAAAATATGAAGGTCAGAATAGTTTTCTAAGGAGGAGATCATTCTGATGGTGGCAATCATATTGTCTGTGGAGGACAAGAACTCAGGACAGCCTTCATAAACTCATCTGTGTGAGTAATCAGAAAAAAAAATACTAAATAATAGAAGGGCATACCTTGCAGGTTTTCTGAATCATCTCAAAGGATTATTGTTCCTATACAATTACAATCACTCTATCCTGAAAAAGAGATGTTGTTTCCAGTCCTCTTTGATAAGGAGACTTACCTCAGAACTTTATGGTTATTGTAAACTGACATGAAGAGCAAGTCAAAAATTGTGAGAAGTGTCAAATCCAATTTTTCTTCAAGAGGCACTAGCACACGAGTAAGGAATCCTTATGGTTTTATTTTCAATTATTTTCTTTTGGTCATGTTATTTATGTTTTTTCCATGGCTATATGCTGTCCTGTCTCTAAGCCGAGAAATAAATAATGCTTACACACATGAATGTTGAGGAGGAGAAGAAAAACTTATGAAATCAAGTCTTCAGATTAGAACTGGATCCCCTTCTAAAAGATGTCGTGGCAATCAAAAAGAAGAAATACGTTAAACAAAGGAATTCCAAGAGAGTGTTTTATGGCGAGTGTTATGCAGGAAGAGCTTGAAATAAAGGGTGAAAGATATGAATCCAGTACAATTCAGTACAAGGGAGAGTCAAAATCAGTTGCCTCTCTGACAGAGAAGATTCCATCTCTATTGGAGTTAAAGCATACTTTAAGTCTTGACTTCTGCTGAAGTTGAGGCAGTATCAGAGAGACAGGATACTGCCTCTGGTGTGAGGCAACTACTCTGGGCTCCCAGTTCCTACCGAGGTCCCAGTCCAGGGAGACAGGCAGTTGTACTTTCCACAGTGAGAGAATCATGTCATACTGGACAGCACCAGCTCCTCTTCTGGACTTAGCAGTTTTGAGTTGATTTTGCTGTAAAGGAAAGTAAAATATTGTCTCCTAGGTAACTCAGTCTCACATTAGTGTCTTAAGAAACATAAGAATGGTCATACAGGCTCTGCCTAGCCCAGACAAGAGTGTGTAGCTGATGCCTAGTTCACAGTTAAGCCCAGGGAAAGCACACAGTAGAAATCCCCCAGATTGTCCTCAAGGTCCTCAATGTCTCAAGCCATTCCAGTCAGCATAGTCTCTTAAAAATTACAGGCCACTGGAAGAGGCAGAAGTGTGTAATTTCCTTTGTACAGAAGATCTTAACAGATCTTCTTAAGAACAACTCTGGGTACTGCAAAATAAATTTTCCACAAATAACAATGATAAGCTTGCACTAAAAGAAAACAAAGTAAACAAGCCAAAACAACAACAAAAAACAACTGAAAGCCATGCTGACCTTACACAACCTTTTCAAATATCAATAAATCAAATTAAATGAGCCGCTGTTGCTCTTTTCCGCTCCTCTGTCATTAAAATCTGAGAATTTTGCATATTTGTCCACCTTCTCAACATGAAATGTGTAGAAGGGCTAAAACTAAGGAATATATTTTATGTAGAGTCAAAAAATAGCTTTCATTTCATTACATATATGTAGGATGTTCTAGGATGTTTCTAGGATGTTCCAAAAGTAATGCCTCCTATTTATCTCCATGGAAACTACGAAGACATAAAGAGCACAATAATGCTATTCCACAGAGCAAATTCTCAGCTACAAAACACTATTTTTCAACATAGTCTGGTTGGTCTCCATAAATGCTCAGCAAGCATTGATGAATCTCAATTTTTTCCCACATAGAGAAATTAAATGACACCTTTATTTCATATGCACACTATTCTGTCAGACTGGCCCTCTGCTGCTATCTGTTGCATGGTAACAAAATGTAATTTTTTGGAATATTGATGGGAAGGTTCAACCTCTGCTGCCATACCACCAACATCTGCCTCTGATGTCATGGGCCAGCATAATAAAATAAAAGGCATTACTTTCAGAGAAGCACCCATGTGATAGTAACTCATTTCAGTCTTTCTTGCAACTTAGTATCATTTCTAAGTAAAGAGCAAAGACTACACTAGGAGAAGCAGAATTCACTTTAATCCATACTGGGAAAATGCCTATTTGTTCTGCTAGAAAAGCTGGCATGAACTCGGAAGGGCAATACATGAGGTAAATCTAAGAAAATGGTTATTTATTCTCATTCAACCTCAGTACAAATTTCCCAATGAAGCCAAAGTTTTGGAATGTTTGACCAGATAGATCTCTGTGAACCTTATTACCAAGGTTGAAGTTACCATGAATTACTGTTGCAGTCATTAGTGGAAGTTCTTAGAGACATTAAGTCATCTACTGGCTGACTGTCTGGAGTAGCAGATTTACATTATCCAAGTTTCAAAAAACTGTAATATCAGCAGCTAAAGACAGAATATCACTGTATAAAGGCTACCGAATCAAATCAAAGAATTCTGTGTCTCAAACTCCAAACTCTGAGACCAGTGATGGTACATTCACATCTATTAAAAACAAAACAAAACAAAACAAAACAAAAAAAAAAAAAGAAAAAAAAAAAGAAAAAAAAAGAAAACCCAACCAAAACATCGATTTGCTAAGCTCGGTAACACTTCCATTAATTTTTGCCAGGTTAAAAGTCACAGTGATACCAAATGGTATGATACAACTTAAATCACATTTTAGAAGATAGTTCAACATCTTTGTGACTGCAGGCAGATTGCCAAGGAGAGTATTGGAGTAGGGGCCTTGTAGCATTTGAAACATCCGTAGATAGTTCACATTTATATCAGAGAAAAATGGCAGTATAAGAAAGAGTAAGAATGGTATGGGTAAAATTTCAGCCACCAGACATCAGAACTTCAACTCTGAATAAATGCTTTCAGTAAAATCTCCCCCAAGGTTTTCTGAAACTTCAAGACATGTGATTATGACAATACATCTTAATGGGAAAGAAGTTTACATAAACATTGAGGTTTGGGGCCAGATTCATTTGAAAGTAACCGATACAGCATTGGAACAATTGGTTACTTTTCTTCCAGATCCACTAAATTTCAGGCAGTAGTTGGAGAAGGTCAGGTCTAGCCCATGTTTCCACCTTCACACTGTAAATTCTAACTGTACCAAAGAAAACAGAACTGCTCTTCAGGAAGGCATCTTAACAGAGCCTTTCAATAAATAATTACAAAGGTTTCCTAGTGACTTTCCTTTCCTCTTCATTTCCTTAGAATACCTGATTTAACTTTGTCTTTAGCCTCTTATAATCTGCAGCTTTACTCTTTCATAGTTTCCTGGCATTCCAGCTATCAGGTGAATTTTTCTAGACACATGCAGCCATTGCTTCAGTATGTTTTGTTCTTCATCTGTGTTGGACATGAAATTTTACTGTTTGGTGTTAAGCATTATGGAGAGGCTGGAAAGGAAGGTTGTTCTCTTTGTGCTTGGCCCTGAGGCTTGGCAGCAACACTGCAAAATGACTTTATCCCCAAACCAGATGTTCAAGTTGTTTTAATAATATCTTATGTTTCCTTCACAAAGTAAAACAAAAACTCACTGTATCAGAATGTTCCAGTATTGTAACAATGTGATTTTTGCTGTCTGCATTTTGCCCACCAGATGGTAGCACTGAAATGAAATCAGATTTCTAATCAAAATACTTACCAATCTCCCATAGGTTGGACAAAATCGCTCCTTTGCAGTTTTTGTACGAGCTAACTTCAAGCAATTCCCTTGATCACCTCTGTTGTACCAGTTACTGTATTATCTGACAGCAAACATAATCCAAATATAAGTGATCTAAGACTTCCCATTCAAGGCTTATTAGCATTGTTTTCACAAAGTTTTGACCCTAAACCAGGCAAAACTTGGTCATTTCAGCTGAATTTCCTTTTGAGGTTTTGGATTTCTTCCAAAGCTAAGTTCACACTCTAGCTGCAAAATGTTCGTATACGCCTTCTTTGTGAACCTGCTGAGTTTACTCATATCACACAGTCAGAACTGAGGTGAAGGGAAAGCACGTAGAAAGGATGAATGACCCAAGCCTGTAGGCCCTCTACATCTATAACTTCAATTAACTTCACTCAGAGAGCCACGCATGAAGCACGTTTAAATCATTTTACACCTTTGGCAGGAAGGATAGCGTCACTGAACAAGGACTCAGAGTTCAATTCCTGTCTCCAATGCAGACTTCCCCTGTAGTTTTGGCAACGCCATTCAGGAGTACAAATCCAGGTCACATGGAAATGAAGCTTTCACTGACACAAGGATGGGATTTCATCTTAATCTGGATCCACTGCAGCTCTTGATATTCTACATGAATTCATTTTACTGCATCCTTTTTTGTCATACTCATTTAGACTGTAAACTCTTTGAGTCAGGCTCTGTGTAGTATCTAGGACTGACAGAAGCTTATCTCAAGTGAGGCTTCTAGGTGTTCTTGTCATGCATGCGACAGACAGTAATAAACAAGAAGCATGTGCATTTGACCCGAATAGAAACAGACAAATAACACAGGTCCAGAGGATTTTGTTTGACAAAAATCACATCAGTGTTCCATCATTAAACATTTGAATGTCCTATAAAAGTTCAAAATCTTCCTGTACATTCTACTTGCTAACAGAGAAGAGCAACACTTTTGGCCTAGCAGAATGCTATATTCATTGACGAATTAAATTCCTGGGTGGTTTTTTTTTTTTTTTTTTTTTTTTTTTTTTTTTTTTTTTTTTTTTTAAACTAAATGTTTTATTTCAGTTGACTTGTAACATCTAAGTACAAAAGGACAAAGCACATGAGCCAGTAAATTAGAAAAATGTAAATACACTAATATAAGTTTATGGAGCATCTCTTGGCTTCAATGTCATGGGCACTGAAGAAGGATAACAGTAGATGAAAAAAAAACTGAAAACTGTGTTATTTCATGTCTACTTGTACCTAACCTCCAGGTCTCTCTGTGACATTATCTGCCAATTCACTGGTTTAGCTTTTGCATGTTTTCCAACCTGTTTCTAAACTGGCTATTCTGCATATAGCACCACAATTCACTAAATGTATTTTCATGAGCATAGGAAGTAGAGAAGACACTAAGCAAGTGACACTGCCTGCTGTCATAAACAATATTCTGCCTAAGAGTGAATACAGACAGGATCCCAAGTTTTGCCATCTGTACAAACAAAACAGAATTACTTTACAGTATGAAAGACAATGGTTTCAGCACATCCAGATACAATTTCATCATCAGTTTAGTTCTCTCTTATTCCACCCAAGATTTCTACTGGCACATCTAATTCCACAGACCCCCATTCTGCTGCTCCATGCATCCTGCATTCAGATTTGGAATTGTTCTTCTAGTAGCTTTTATTGTTATTATTGTCTACAGGAACCTCGCTTTAAGCTACTGCATGCTCTCTTGTAAAGAGAAGAAGCAATTCACTCTTTGGCTGCATCCATGCTACTAAACTAAATATGCTAAGGAAAGTTCTTCGGCCCAGAAGAGATCTGGCACAGAGCAGGCTACCTCAAACCCATTCACATCCCTTACCTGCTAAACTGCAGTGAGTGCACCAAACTGCCCTTGGCATGAGCAAGCCATTCTCGGGAACTGTCAAGGAGAGTGCTTTCTGATCTGGGTTAGAATGTTGCCAGCATCTACCCTAACAATTCAGTAAAGAAAAGTGATCTTCAGCTCTCAGAAACAGCTGAATTCATTCTAGTTTCAATGTATGCTTGACTCTGTCCTGTTAGAACAGAACAAAGGATAGTGGCTCATTTGCATGCTTACATCAGCCTGTCTTTTACCCCAAAACATTCCTTCTTTCAATTATTTGTTGTATTTCACTGAACTGCTGATTGTTTTCCCATCCCCATATGTTTTTCTGTGTTCCCTGACATTTCCTCTGCTATCTTTTTTCTTCCCTTCACACCTACTCAAAGCTATTATTTCCGGATCAACTTTGACAAAATTTTCTCAAATCATAACTTTTCTTTCCCATGCTATGTCTCCCTACTTTAAATTCTCCTCTCCTACATATTTTTCCTCATTCCTCACAACTACAAAAAGCTTGTTTGATTTTCTCTTACTCATCTGAGATTGTTTTCTTCCTTTAGCCTTTAATCTTGATAGTATATTGTTTAAAGTCTAGAATAATTCCTGGACTACTTCTTCATCTTACAGTTACTTGTTGCCTTCTCTTGACATACTTTTCCTGCACACATTCTTTAAAATTCAGGATACTGCAAAAAACATTGTTTCACAACCAGAGCTCCATTACATTGTCTGGTGTGTCTGCGCCCCTTGACTCTTATCTCAAACTTACCTCTAGCCATTCTAAAATGGTGATGAACTCACAGGTTACTCACAGCCAAGGGAAGCCAAAGACTACTTCCATCAGTGTCAGTGCATTTTAAAATCATGCACAATGGTTGTATGCAGAAGTTACCTGCCGATTGGCAGGTTGGAAGGTCTGGGAAACATTGGAATTTGTGGCAATGCTTTTGTAACAGCTTGGCATGTTCACAGCCTGACACTGACCTTCAAGAAGCTCCAGAAGCAATTTGTTTGTCCTTCACTGGGTTTGGGTCTGTTGTCAGATGTTTCAGTCAGTGTGACCTCACTATTAAACATATACTCCTCATTAGTATTCATTCTGCAGATTATGTCAGCTTATTGCCTTCCTAATATCCCAATTATTCACGTGGCTGCCTTTTTTAATAAACTAAGGTCTAGAGTCAGTTAAATACTTACACCTGTGCTGTCATCAGTAAGAAAGGGAGGAGCAATGCAGAAGGACCTGAGGTACCTCTGGCACTGGCAGTTTATCTGCAACAGCCTGGAGTTCAGTACAGACTGGAGATCAGAAGTGGATAAGCCCTCTGGTTTTTGTTTTGTAGCCACAAATCCAGACACAAAGCTAGCTGTTTCTGAAATCATTCAGACATATTTGTACCATTTCTGTGGTTGCATTATAGGATTTGAGGGAAATATGTAGGATGTTTAGCTCTCCAGACTGTTCTGGACAATGGCAAGATTATTAGAAGTGTTTCAGGCATTGGTCAACAGCACCTTGCAGAGATAATGAACAAAATGGATGCTCACAGGCAGTCCCAGGAGGTTCCATATTAACTGGGCATGTACAGGAAAACTGGATAAGGTGGTGGTCCTTCCTGATATTAAAATGTACAACGCTGGTGGGAAACAAAAACAGCAGAATAAACATTTTTACAAAATGTATTGCTATTACTATTTCATATGTGGCTTGAACTATACTTTGTCAAATTTCAACTGAAACTTTTATTTTTGAGTTTATTCTTTCTCTCCAAACATAATTAATTTTATTCAGAGAAAAGTGTTTGTTATTCTACAGCTTTCAAAGCATTCTCTACTGTAAGCAAGTTTGTTGTTGTTTTCTGTTACTCTAACACTTCCATAATTGAGAATGTTTTGGAAGTCACAAATGAAAAAGAGAAAAAAAAAAAAAAAAAACATAGAAAAGGAACTCTGGGAGCAAGTAATGAAAAGGCTAGTGCCTAGGGATTATATCCAGTGGCAAGAGAAAGTAGGAAGAAAAAAAGGGGGAATAGAAGACCAAAACACTTGGTTATTTTTTAAAAACAAACAAACAAACAAACCAAAACTAAAAGGCAGATGTTAAAAACCAAAGACTTTTCAGTCAGCTCTAGATTAAACATTTTGAGTTGAACTTTCACTTCATTAGTTGTTTAGCAGTTTCAGGGCAAATCAACACAGACAAGTGTTAGTACACTTCCCAAATATTCCTTTGTGGGCCACAGAGCTCATTATTATTATTATTATTATTATTATTATTATTATTATTATTATTATTATTATTTCATAGCATTTCAGGCCATCTCTTCATTTTTAGAGCACCTCACAGATTTAATTTGATCTTCTTTGTTCTTTAGGCTGTTTGAATTTTCTTTTATTTTCGTGGTTGTTGAAACTTTGTGATAGAAATTTGGAGATCTGGCAAAAATACATTCTACAATAATGTCTCCTTTCTGTGGGGGTGTTTTTAGCCTATTTATGTATCTTTTTTAAAATTATTTTAAAGAGCATTAACAAGTATACCCAGTTTTCATTTCTGGCTGAATTCTCTAAAGAAAAGTATTTTCAACTAGACTGTTAACATAATTTAAACACTAAAGTCCCTGGTGTCTGGAGAGTCTTGGTTAGATGGTCACTTTCAGAGAGATCTGGTCAACAACTCTATGTCCAGGCGAAGGCTGGTCATGAGTGGTGACCCCCAGGGGCCTTGGGACCAATGTTCTTCAATATCATTATCAATGTCATAGACATCGAGTGTACCCTCAGCAAGTTTGTTGTTGACACCAAGCTAAGTGGAGCAGTTGATATTAAAGAAGGAAGGGATGTAGTCCAGAGTGACTTTGACAGGCTTGAAGAGTGGGCCCATGTGAATGTAAGGCTCATCAAGGCCAAAAGAAAGATGTTTCAGCTAAGTTGAGGCATTTCCAGGTATGCATACAGACTGGGAAAAGAAAACATTGAGAGAAGCCCTGTGGAGACGGACTTGGGGGGGTCTCTTGGACAAAAAGTTGAACAGGAGGCAGCAGTGTGCACTTGCAACCTGGAATGCCAACACTAACCTGAGAAACCCTCAAAAGAGAGGTGGCCAGTAGAGAAAGATAGGTGATTGTTCCTCTCTGCTCTTCTAAGGCCTTATCTAAAGTACTGCATCCAGGTCTGGAGTCCCCAGCACAAGGAGGATGTGGAGCTGTTGGAGTGAGTTCAAAGGAGGGCCACAAAGATGATCAGAGGGCTGGAGCACCTCTCTTATGAAGAAAGGCTGAAGGAGCTGAGCTTGTTCAACCTGGAGAAGAGAAGGCTCTAGGGAGACCTATTATGGCCTTACAGTACTTGAAGAGAGTTTATAAACAGGAAGGGGGCTGACTTTTTAACATAAAATTGTAGAATCATAGAACCACCAGGGTTGGAAAAGACCTCCAAGATCATCCACTCCAACTGTCCACCTATCACCAATATTTCCCACTAAACTGAGCCCCTCAATACAACACTTAAATGCTTCTTGAACACCTCCAGGGTCAGTAACTTCATCTTCCTGGGCAGCCCCTTCTAGCTCTTGACTGCTTTCTCAAAGAAGAAATATTTCCTAATGTCCAACCTGAGCCTCCCCTGGCACAACTTGAGGTCATTTCCTCTAGGCCTATTTCTAGTTACGTCGAAGAGGCCCTCAAGATTATATGCTCTATAGTCTTTTCTGGCACCGAGGTCAGCCTGACAGGCCTGCAGTTTCTCTTTACAACCATTCTCACAGATGGGAGTCACACTGGTTAGTCTGCAATCCTCTGAGACCTCTCCTGTTGACGAGGAACTCTGATAGGTGACGGATAGCAGTTTGGCTATCACCTCTGCTAGCTCTGTCAGCACCCTCAAGTAGATCCCCCCTGTCCCCATGGGCTTGTGGCAGTCCAAGTGGAGTAGTAGGTCTCTAACTGTTTCTACCTGAATCATGAGGGTTTATTCTACTTCCCAACTGAGACTTCCAGTTCAGGGGGTAGAGGATAACTCTGACTTTTAAAGACAGATGTAAAGAAGGCAATGAAAACTTCAGCATTTTCCTTATCCTAGTAAAGGATGGAGATTTTCTTTAGCCCTCCTCTTACTGTTAATATATTTATAAAAATTTTTTTGTTCTCAAAAATTTTTTGTTCTCTTTGTTTTGTCCCAGTGATCAGATTGAGTACAATCTGCGTTTTTGCCTTTCTAATTTCCTCTCTGCACATCTTAACAATGTCTTTGTACTCTCCACAAGTTGTCCATCCCTCCTTCCATAGGAGGCAGATCCTCTTTTTCTCTTGGAGCCTCAAGAAAAGCCTTCTGTTCATCCACACCTGTCTTCTTACCTGCCAGCTCATCTTGTGGCACAGGGGATAGCCTACTCCAGCACCTTTAAGACTTCCTTGGTTTAATAAGACAAGAAGAAATGGTTTTAAGAGGAAAGATTTAGGTTAGATGTTATAATCAAAGTCTTTACTCAGAGGGTGGTGAGGCACTGGCACAGGCTACCCAGAGAAACTGTGGGTGCCCCATCCCTGGAGGTGCTCCGGGCCATGAAGGATGGGGCTCTGGGCAGCCAGAGCTGGTGGCAGGCAGCCCTGCCAATGGCAGGGTGCTGGAAATTGATGGGTTTTAATGTCCCTTCTAATCTAAGACATTCTAAGATTCTTTGATTATTCTATAACTTCTTCATAATTCTTGTAATTTAACAGAATTGTATAAGCAATATAAAAAAAATATCAGCTTCTGTTGTAATTAATGCTTAATGGACTGCAATACACTGGACACTAATTTTTGTCGGTCAGCTATTACATTCACTTTTTTGCACTTGTTCTACATTATAATTGAAATCTTTGCCAAAGAATGTTTATGAGGAACATAAGAATCTAGACACTGTGCAATCCCAGGATCAAGTGAAGTGTCTTCCTTATCAGAGCCTAAGATCTTACAGTTTGCTAGCTGTTCTCAAGGATGTTTCCTTGACAAGGATGGGGGTGGAGCAACTAGAAACTCTATATCCTGCTTTCTGCACTCTTTCGCTCACCATCTTCCAACTGCAAAATCATGCAGTTCTTGAATGGTTATTAACTTCCCAAGAAGAGCATACCCCAGTACGCAATATATAGGACAGCATTTCTTTATGCCTGCAAGACAGACTTTCCTCAAGCTCGGTGTTACTCTTTTGGCAAGGGTATGGAGTTGCTGAGTCCCATCCTGCTGTTTTCTTTGCTCATGACTAGAAACCGTTCTTGGCTCCCTACCCAGTCAGCCAGGCACTTATTCTCTCAACAGTAATAATCACATCCAAATTTGATTTGCTGTTGAACAACATCTCACTTCTTTCAGAAAGAAGAAAAATGAAAACATATATAGGAAGGTCTTTATTCTTATTCACAGCAATAGGATGCAGGATTACAATAGGTCATAAGAGCATGTGGTGCAAAAAGTGAATATTCGTTGAGAATCTCTGCTGTTTAGATCAGAACCTAGAAACTGAATCTTCTCCTTGCAAGGCTGAATATTTCTGCTGGCAGTGACTATTTGTTTCAATTCACACAAAAGTTTTACTTTGTGATTACCACTAGAACTTATTTATTTTGGGTTCAAGCACTGATCTCCCCCCTTCTTCCTCCTGCAAAGTAAAGATTTCAAAAAAGCAACTATTTCTACAATTGTAATGCAGACTACTACTTAGATCATCATTTCACATTACTTCTCTCATTTTAGGAGTTCCTAATCCTTTCTATCTATACTCAACCATTTTTCTACCGAACTGAAAAATACTCCACAATAAAGTGGATGAGATAATTAGGGTTACTTTTTGCTGTAGAAATTTCTAACCAATAAATTGACTATTTTGCTAGTAAGATCAAGCACTGGGAAACCACCAACATTTCGTATGATATTCCTCTCTAATTTACTTGCCTAAGCATCTGCTGTCAAAAATCAAAACAGAAAACAAGAGAATGCCCCCACATGAACAATTCAAGTCACCTCTACTCCAAAAGAATGTTACAACAATACAAAAAAAAAAAAAAAAAAAAAAAAAAAGAATGATGATCAACATGGAGAAGCTTAGGTTTGAGAGTAAGTTAACCTAGAAAACTCTTTGAAAAAAGATACAAGTGAGAGATAAAAGCACAGAACCTCTGTGACTTACAGAAATAAGTCATCCTTGTCACTTGTTAGGTGTCAAACTACAGTGCTAACTAGCCATTGAAGTACAGAGTATTTGAATAATGTGCAATTAAAACGTGAAACACATGGCATTTGAAAAGAATTGCATGAGTGAATTCATGAGGTGCTATGACAGATACAGAAAAAGCAAATAAATCAAATCCCATTAAATACAAATATAGTGTCTAGATCTGCAAGTTTCTACGTTGGAGTGATACCAGTTGAAGTATTTGTCTGGATGCTACCTTTTTATATTCTCTCTGTAAGTATATGCCGTCTGCCACTGTCAGAGGCAAAAGACTTGGAAAAAATAACTTTTTTCTAACTCAGTACAGGAATATTTACAAAATACTGTCCAGTTTAAAGTCATAGAATGGCCTGTGTTGGAAAGGAC